TGCTGCTTTCAGCTCCTCCTTCGCTTTGCTTCTGAAGGCCCTCTTCTTCATGTTGAGGACAAATTTGACTTCCTGTGTTACCCACAGTTTGTTATTAGAATAACACTGTACTGTTTTAGCAGGGGCAACCACGTCCACACAAAAGGTGAGTAAGTCCGTCAGACAGTGTGTCGCCCCCTCTATGTCCTCACTATGTGGGCTCAGAAGCACATCCCAGTCTGTGGTGTCAAAGCAGTCTCTCAGAGCATCCTCCTTTTCTGGGGTTCATCTCCTAATGGAGCGTGTTGTGACAGGCTGCCTTTGGATGAGGGGTATGTACTGTGACTAAGTGGACCAGGTTGTGGTCTGACTTCCCTAGTGGGGGAAGGGGGTGGCTTTGTATGCATCTCTTACATTAGCATACAGTAGGTCAATTGTCCTGTTGCTCCATGTGGGACAATTCACAAACTGGTGAAAAGCATTCAGAGTAAAATCCAGTGTGGCATGAAGATGTTCTAAGAGAAGACTGCTGCTAAAAGAAAAAAGCAGGATGTTTTATTTCCTCAGAGGGAGCAATGACTTTTTTCAAAAAAGGATGCCAGTGAGTGTTAGCATGCAACTCAGGACAAAATAAGTGGTTGTGTCAGAAACTGGACCTGAAGACCAAATTGCAAATACCCAGAGTCGACTCAGTATTTTCATGATATTACAGCTGATAAAGGCATCACTGATGACCAAATTAATTAAGTAGCGGATAAACAATTAGAGAAAAGTTAATAAAAATAGTGAAAAAACAGGATTTTTTTCTCTCAACCAGAAGTTTCTATTTAGTTTTTACACTGTTAAAAAAGTATTTTTTGTGAATTAAAAAAGTTGCCGCTTATAATTACATAACAGTCTGGTCAATGATTACCAGAACAGTTTCTGTAAATTCATGTTTATTTCTCACAGTTTAAGTCAAAAGAGTCATGCTGACAGATTTCTTTCATTTACTGCAGCAGCACTTGGTCATGTAAGAAAACGGAGACATTCTGTTAAAACTGCACTGCTGCTGTAACAAACAGACTCAAACACAACTGAAAACGGACCAGCAGCAGCTTCAGAATTCTCTAGGCTTCTTATTTATTGAGAAGAGTCTAACAGGCTTTCCCTGGACTACTCTGGCACATTTTCTGAAAATCCGGTACTCCCTATTTCCATATA